ACCATTGCTTAGCTAACAGCTTAAATTTACTCTAAATAAAACTGATTCGAAAATAATCGGTTCTTCCGAGAGGTTTACAAAATATAGAAGCTGTGTACAATACTCGCCTCAACCATGTCCCTGTCTCCTGCCGCTCTGTTTCAGTTTACATCAACAAACATCAGTTAAATCCCAACAAATATCAGTTAAAACCAGGAAATTCAGCAGAACATCAAGGAACAATTACATAGTATAATTTGCAGCATTCCTTAATGGGAAAGAATCCCTTTATAAGGAATCGCATTATAATTCCAGCAGCTCCTCTCCGATAAGTGGTCCACACAGGTTAGTAAGATTTTTCTAGTTACTGGATAGATTTCCATATATCCATTATTCAGATATCTTATTAAGGAATGAGGTTAAATACTGTAAATTCAATCCCAAATTGTTTTGATAAGTACTACAATCCTACCCTACACAGTACTAACGCATCTTATACTCAACAATGAATATTTTTGTGTACAGGTGCTCCCAAAGTTTAGGAAAAAAGTTTTACAATTTGTACAAAGTATTCCTGATGAATATACAGTAAACACAGTATTAGTTTTGAAACAATATCTTAGTTCTGCATTAATATGTATTGGACTGCCATCTACAGTAATAAAAAATGTGTTGCAAGGATTTCAATCCAGGTTTAAATAGAAGTAACAATGGTTTGAATGGATTTACTACTCTTACAGCTAGTACTTTTTAAAAAAAACAATGCCTGCTCTGCATACTCTTCTAAGAGGGATATATGCCATCGTATGCATACTCTGCCAGCTGTAATCACCGACAGCTATAAAATTCACAAGAGCACAAGCAGAAAGTTCAATGTTTTGATTAAAGGTTGCACAACCCTAACTAGAAAGCAGCTGGAAAGGAAATCTTAGATCAGTTTCGTGGATGGTGTATTTTTAGACATCGACCTGAGGTGCTGTGTGATACAATTATTCTAGTCGTGCACAAGTTGATCTGATAACTCGGGGGAGCATTGCTTCAAAAAAAAACCCCAATCATTTGGTTACCCAATCCACGACTGTTTGTAGCATGTTGTTGTTCGCAATTGTCTGCCATGTTTCTTCCACAAAATGTAGTCACTGCACTTCACAGTATATTCTGTGAAGCATTTTGAGATGTCTCAACGGTGCGATATCAAATGCACGGATTATTATTATGTATACGAGCCAAGAATGGGTGTATTGTGGAATGGCAGAAATAGTAAATTCAAGGCTTTTGCAATTGTGTTAAAATAAATACTAAGCAGTCAAATTGAAGTGTGGACAATATTCACTCAACACTGGAGATATGGAAAGTGACCTTTTCCCAGAAAATTAAGTTACAACAGCTGTTTGTGTGATAGTAAATAACACACAAACAGCAACGACAATGTAGATTATAGACACTAATCAAGACAGCACATTTTTAAGATAAAAGCATATTACAATAACCTAGCATGGATGAGAATTTTAACGCAAGCGGTTTAAAAAAAGTCATCCAACCCTCTATTGTGCTCTACTACTGAAACATACTTCAAAAACTTTTATCAGAGCATTTTCTTTATAGTATTCTCGTAACGTATTGCAATATACACACTTAACGATTGTGTACTGGGACATTGTACAAGTTTGTTTCTCAGTTTGTTACTCAGTCTTGTACGTTTCATGTAAGAGATGGGTGTCTGAAGTCACGTTGTGCTACAACTCGGCTAAAACGTGTTTTAATTGCGTATGGCAATGGTGGCTAACGTATAGCCTGTGGGGCCGAACATTCAAATCAGTCCAAGCAAAATCACTGCCTCATCTCCAGCAGCCTCTGAGCAGCGATGCCCTTGAATCAAGATATATTCAATCAAGTAGATTTGGATGGCCACCGCTGGCGTATGTATGGTCCCTCACATCTCTAACGGAAATAAGCAAACACATCTGAAATATTCTAAACAATAAGTCAGGGATCTATCCCCCTCGTAACTGCACCAACCCCACTGATGCTGGCGCTGTGCATGGACATCAGGCCAAGATGCTATCATTTGAAGAGCTCGCCATTGCTCACTGCCCAATTTCACCAGTGAAAAATGCCAGCCAAGGTGGCAGAATGGAGGACTCACTCACATCCACTCATTCAATTTAAAAAAAAGTCAAATACCTTAAGGAAAAGACAGAGAGGGGAGGAGAACTGGACAGGGAAAACAATAAGACTGAGGTAAAAAGGATCTCATCATATTTTGATGAAGTGAATGTCTCTCTCTGGTGTACAAGCCAATATTCTACATTCATCCATATTCAGAACATTAATTGGTTAGGTTTATTTTTTGGAAGACTACACAATTTGCTGATGCTACATTAGTCACCGCACTTTAGTCACTTTGACATAAGCTAAGAAAATTGTGCAGCCTTTGTTCCTTATGTAAGAGTGGAAAATAACAGGTTTCTATTTCTGTTTGTATCAAATGACAGAATGTTCAAGTGCTTCCCATAATATTACATCACCACAAATAATTCTCTACATACTTTCACCGCAGGAAACGTAGGATATTATCCTGCATAGTGGTGCTTGGTCTTTTAAAATGGAAAAACTCAAGCGAAGCAATAGAGTGTGACGTGGTGAGATACTCCATTCTGTGGCTGTCGTTTGGTTAGCGTTAAACATCATGGTTGGGAATCCGAGTCAATGCAGAGCAGTAGCTCATAAAACATAGTACAGAATCAAAAAGAGGAATGAAATCCATCTGGCTGGACCCAAAGTAAGAAAAATACACTCAATTTATTCAATTGCTATCCAATTTGCTTTTGGATTAGCTGATACAATCGACCTCCAGCATTGTGACTTCTGCAGGCCATTCCATATATTTGCCAGTCTGTGAGGCTGTAAATACCTGCATACCCAATAACTTTTAGTTATCCCTGGTATGTGCACTAAACTTGTTCAACACAATCGTAGACCGGCATCGGCTATACTCATGCAACTATTGTTTGGGTGTATTTTATTCTATTAAATACCTCTACTTCAATATTCATAATAACGCTTGATTTTGATTGAGCAACTTTTGCAATATAAACTTGTCAAACCACTCAGCAAGATTTACTGATAAGAGCAGTGTCTACAGGTATTTAAGCCAACAAAAGATCTTAAAAAAAGAAAAATGTTCATGGGTGAAGAGTAATCTGAATGGACAATGTTTTTTCACCTTGCTTGGGAAGACTGAGGGGCCAACAGCAGGAGAGAAGTGTAGTTATTAAATTGGGAGGGGAGAGGGAGAGAATAGGATTCTGCTGAGTGTGGAGTTGTGCTCTTTGAACCGTTTCTATGCATTTAATCAATAGTCACCATCTTTGGTAGTCAGTGACTTTCATACCCCAGGGTTTCTTTGCAATCACTCCACCCTGTTAAGTCTGAAAAATCATTTTAATTCTTTATAAATGCACATAGAATTGGACACTGTAAGTTCATGAATGATTACATAAAAACTCAATTTACAACCAGGTTGCAGAACAAATTTCCATTACCCGTTTCATGTATTTATCCTTTTGATGGAATGAAAATAAAGAGGAAGCAAAATCCACCGGGCAAAAACACCCGTTTGGTAACAATCCACAAAAAGGTTATTTTAAGCACTACCTTCTTATACACAATAGCAATTGTTGCCAGAACACATTCATTTGTAAATGCAAACAATACTGCTCACCTCTACAACTGGAATCCAGCCCAAACCAATACATACTGCACATTAGAATTTTGCTCACTCTTGTTGCTATAAATAAGTTTGAGCTTTCTGAATCTAACTGCTAGCATCTCCAAATGCACAGCAGAGATATCTACTCATAAATTACTCTTAATTGCACTAAATCAGTTATCTCCCTCAAGACATTAGGTTATCAGGTAGGGGAAATGGAAAACATCCATCACACCAATATGGAAGGTGTGCCATTTTCAGGTTGCTACTTGTCTTATTCTCAGAGGGGTGTGTGTGTGTGTGGGCGGGGGATGCGTAGGGTGTTCAGATTCCCTGTTGGAGCACAGTAGTAGGAGTCTTCACTCTGCATGTGGCCTCTAATGCAAAGAATCAGGAAGTGCTCAATTTCAAATTTAGAAAACTTTTCATTTCTTAGTCCTGGGAGTCTTGGCTTAATGAACAGATGTGCAGATCAAATCAGTTATGGATCATAAGACCACCATAACTTATTGGTATCTTAATACAATTTTTCCATCTATCACTGTCAAGTGAAAACCATGGCTATATTTATGTGTTCTATTCTGGTTAGTTGCTTGTCTACACAGCTGTCAAAATACAAAATGTCCACATTCTTACTGAAACCTACAAACAATAATGCAACAAAAACAAAATATCAAAGGGCATTCCCTTTTCTCTTAAAATTTGCGTGAGGCCGACACTTCACAGAATGATTGGATCCAGTAGAAAATGTGGCTATTTCAGTCTGCTCCCATCCCTTATAATCCTCCAACTCTATGATCAAGCACATCTGCTGAGTTCTCCCTGCCAAAGGTTGGTTGCATTTTCAGCTGGATGAATCATTTTCCAAGGACAAGATTAAGTGTTCCTTTCTCTATTGAGGACGGTTTCAACCAGCAAAGCACTGGGAGATTGTGACTAGAGCTGCTAATTTAGAACTATGAACTGGGATGAGAAAACATCATCAACTGTTGTACTGAAGTCTCCATTTAGCACTCGATGGTGCCCAAAGCCTAGTCTTGTGATAACTGATAATGCACCAACCCGTGTTGAACTGCAGCACAGATACCATCCTTGCAATCAAGCACCTCTCTCTTGAATAAATTATACACTGGCTTCAAGGTGCAACCCAGGAGCAGAGAATCACTTGATGTCAATTTTCAGCTCAATGCTGGAAGCAACTTTTAGGCTTTCCGCACCCATATCAAGAAGCAGCAACTAAATCTGATCCAAACAACTAACACTGAATATTGAACATTATAAAATTACGAAAGACTATGGATACATCAACTTCTTTTTCAAACCTTTATTTTTGTGTAAAAATGTATGACCACATGCAGACTAAAAACCAGTCCAACGAAGTAATCACCAGTTTAAACAAAAGGACCAACTTATACTTAAATATACCAGTTTCCATATTCTTTGTATAAAAATAAGGTACAATTCTACAGCCATCTCCTTTCACTTTCTGTAGAACACAAAAAACTCTGCATACATAAATCTGTCCATGGTTAACTGTACACTGTCAAATAAAGTTTCTATATTTCTGAAAGTGTGCAAATTTTCATTAATGATCCTTACATATAAACTAAAGAACTTGTCTTTAAACAAACGTCTTATGAAAAACGTCATTTACATACAGCCCATACATACATGACACATTGAACAGAACGTAATTTTACATTTAGCTATCAATTCAAGTCTCCAGTGTTCATCGACGATGCCTACCATGTCCTGAGTGACTGCTGCTGTGGTGTTTACCTTTATGGGACCTTTCATAAGATCTTGATCGCTCATTTCTATCCCTGTGGTGCTCTTTGGCATGTCTGCGTTTCTTTATAGGATCACAGTGTTCCCTCGATCTACTGCGGGAATGCGATCTACTCTGAGATTTCTTCCTTTTGTGACCATGCCTAGCAGAGCTCTTGTTCTCTTCATTACGCTGCAGTTTTGCTTTGATGTGGGGTGATGTGTGGATATGATGCCGACGTGGGGAGATACTGCGACTATGGGACCTGCTTCTTGACCGAGAGCTGTATGTCCCAGACCTGCTTCTTCTATTATAGCTAGGAGAGGGAAAAAAAACTTCAGATTGATTTTCATCAATGATTTGTTCTCAATTTTACTGAGACTTTAAAATGTTAGCAGCATACTGCTAATACTTCAAAAAGATGCAACAACAGAACAGGCATTCACACATCAATGGAGTGGGTGGGGGGGGGGAGGAGGAGAGAGAAAAGGCAAGAGGGAACATATTGGCTCACACGACTGGTAGAGACAGAGACTGAAAAAGGGATCAGTCCTGCAATACAAGCAAGACACTCCCACCAAAGAGACTTCTGTAGTAGTTTGCATACTCGTGTTCAGCAAGTCATTGTATAGCATTTTAAAAAAAGCATGAACCAAAGTTTTTAAATTAAGACCATAACCCGGTAAATAGAGCCTAAAAGTTAATCTGAAGTAGTTGAAGCTCGGTACAGAAACCCGATCTGCCTGAAAAGGTACACGGGTCAATCTGTCACGTGTTTGTCACACTTACTGCCTTCTCGGGGAATGTGACCTTGATCGTGTCCGTGACCTTGAGTGGCTGACGCTCCTACTGTTTTGGCTCCGGTTTTCTTTTCTGAGCCTGTAAATTTTGAAACAAAGACTTAAGTAATTACACAGCCCTTTTCCAAAAGAGATTATACCCGTTATCCAGGATCTTGCCCAGGTGATCATTATGCATGTGAACCAATGCATAAAATCAGCAGACGACTTGACCTGACTGAACAGGATCCTAGTCAATACGGATTCACTGTGAAGCAACACAAATGCAAGATTACATAAATATTCAGTAAGGTTTGAAGCAAACTGTGAATAAAAGTTCCACCCTAACAATAACCCTTAACAAAATTAACAAAACAGCCTGAACATATGGAAGCACATTTACTAACCCATTGTAAGGACTTTTGGAGTTCAACTGCCGGTCTTCTGACTCTTTTTTAATAGCTTTAAGGCCCTGCATAGCAGGTGTCTTCTCCTCAATCTTTGCTTCCCGAGGTGAAGCTGGAAGAAAAAAAAATCCATATTATATATGGGATGCCACCATTGAGGAGCCCTTATTATTTAGAAATAACACACAATTTCCATGAAGACACAACTTACCTGGTTTAGAACCAGGAGAGAAGCCTCCCAGTGTAGAGAGAGCAGGCGTGCCATCAAGATTCAGCCCTTTGGCTTTTAACTTGGCTTCCTGCAAGGAAACTTTTCGCTTCTCCACTTCCTTCTCCAAATACTCATAATTAGGCTGCGGAAACACATTTGCTGGTAAGTTTTCAAAATAGCTCATATCATGCAGACCATAGATCCAGCATTACAATTAAATACTCATTAAGATTTAGTTAATCAAGTTGGAGAATATTTATAAGTTAGCTGAATCACCTTCTTCCGTGTATAAAGTTTTAATGTTGTGGTGCAGATATCCTGGATCTCTTCTTCAGTTACACCAAAAAGCAGAAACCAATGAGGGCGATTTGGCAATAATATCTGAGGGAACAGAAGGAAAAATCAATCACATTTTGAAAACCGTTGACATAGCAATGTTTCATATGTCTCAACTGCCCATTAACACAATACAGCACAAGATGACCAGCGTCAATGATGATTAGCCCACCAGATCCTACTTAGATGAGATTGATAAGGAAACTTACAATTCATCCGTTTGGCATTTAGTCTGGCACAAAATACTAGACCAAAGAATTTTCTACCGGCCACACCCTAACTGAGCGCTTTTAACAGAAGCAACACCCAGGTGCTGATAACCTAAATTAAGCATAATCTGCCGCAACTGGCTTTTCTCCACTCACCTGTAGAGCTCTAGCGGCAAGATAGATGCAAGCACAAGCTATAGTTTCTGGATTAAACCGGACAAATACATTGGTTCGGAGACAGTCATTCATATAATTCCTGAAAGACATCAGAGAGAGCAATGAGTTATAAGTCACATGATTAAGTATGCAAAACAGGCAAGGAGACTCGAGTGACTTTGCTCTTAATTCAAATAAATGCCCTCCGACACCTTCATCGGCTCCAAATTACACGAATTAAAGGAATTTGAAACGTGGAAGGAAGCACAATCTTAACCGTACTGGTGCAAGTTTCAAAATCAATGTAAATCCTTAAAAGCAATAACTTCAATAATCCAAACCATTTACCTAATTAAAAAATAAACTTGTCCCCCCCACCCCCCCATAAACTCCATGGGGGAAAAATGCCAAACAGGAAATTTAGGTTCTGGAACAGTCCTGTTTCTGGAACTTGAGCAAGCTACAGATCTTGAAACTAAATGTCTTATTCAAAATAAGTAACTGTACCACCCAATGGGACACGTGAATAACATCAATGATATTATACTCTGCTCTACCCCAAAGGAGCCAGATTACAGTACACCATGGTGATGTGCAGACACTACTTTCATACGCATCATTTTCTAGACCTACTATGAAGCCAGAATATGCGACACGTTAACTTTCTGAAATCTTCTCTTAATGGCTTGGTGAATTCAAGCATGGCGCGGCATTAAGCCATACAGAACGCACTTGGCTTCTCGTCTCTGCAAGTTTCTCAGCTGAGCAGCAGCAAGCCAGTGCTACAATCTTTATGGTGCCTTAAAGCCTGGGTGAAGAAAATAAATTGGCCCCATTTCTTGGTCACTCTCCAGAAGAGATGTGCATTTGGATGCTGGCAGGATACAACAGAATTGTCCAAGCGTACACAAGAACATGACGACTATCTGTGTGAAAAATATGCCCATGGAAACTTATCCAAAGTGAAAATAAATTCAGGCGCAAGTAGAGGAATTTTTTTTGTTAAAGGTGCTCTTGCACTAGATGACAACTGGGATAAAACTAAAAATGCCTCCAACTCTGCAGCTCTTTTGAACAACCATCATGAGCATTATGGTTAAATCCCCCCAACAAAGCTGCTGCAGAAAAACAAGTTCAGATGAAATCATTTACAGTACTACAGGTTGTATTAGCTCACCCATCCAATAAACTAATGGCAGTTTCAATTTATCTTAACCTACATCTTTTTAATTCTGGTTGCAAATGAGCTGGGAAGTCTAATTTCAGCTCCATGTAATAAGCACTAGTGATGACATTGGGCACTCAAAAGATGATGGGTAGAGCTGCTAAATCAATGGGTATTCATTCAAAGTGCAATCTTCAATCCCAGACAGCATCTTAACTAATAGTATTTTACCAATGTAAGCAGATTGCAGGTAATTTGCTGCATGCCTTGAGTATGAGGTATTTTATTTACACTTGGTCCTATATATGCCAAACGTTGCTTACACTTTACGTACACTGTCTCAGTGGGGCGTAATGTATTTATGTATCCTACATAAATTAAGCACTTGCCAGTAGCCTCCTGTATTTCATATTTGGGAGCATTCTTGCATTCAGCATCAACTATCTGTCATTTTGTGATACAAATATCATTTATCAAACAATCGTTATGTTCGAGTTCAGTCTAAAATAGACCAGCAGTATCGCAGATTCAACTCCCCTGTTTTGTCAAATTAGACTTCAGCTGAAGCATCAGTAGCAGCATTACAAATGGACTCAGCAACCATGTGGAGTCCTGTAGCTCAGTGGTTAGAGCACTCGCTTTGCAAGTGAGAGACCTGAGTTCAATTCCAGGCAGAGGGCGAAACCTTGGGCAAGTTTCCTTACTCCACACAGAGCCTAATAATAATCCCTCCAAAAGCAAAACAATAATAAATTGGTCATTTTCAATCTACAGCTGTTTGTGGGACATTGCTGTGCGCAATTGGCTGCCGCGTTCGCCCACAAATATACAGTCAATTCACTTTACAGTGTGTTCTGTGAAGCGCTTTGGGATGTCCTCCCGACGTGAAAAGCGCTATATCAAATGCAAGGATTATTATTATTATGTTTGAGAAAGCAGAGACCACAAAGTCAGTGCTTCCCACTGCTGATCCCTTTCCAACAATCCCTACAGGAAACTATGGCTGGGGATATCAAACAAGGACAGTCCGCAAACTTTAGCAGATACTTAGAAACACAGCAACTGATGCTAATACTGTGCTATGCACAAGCTAAAGAAACCCTTTCTTTCAACATGCTTAAAAAACAATGTGCACATTCAAAACCTTAAGTCAACTAGATAAATTACTGAATGTATGCATGTTGAACATCCATGTGCAGAAGCAAATACAAATCCTTCAAAACCCCGCCAGAACTACGGTAGGTGATGTTGCCAGATGTTTTGTGACCACTTCAGTGAATAGCTGTCTCGGGTGAGAGCTTGCACTGGACTGAATGAAGGGGCAGCCAAATCAGAGGCCATCCAGAAGTCATGAAGTTGAGGAGCAGAGTTCAGAGGGAAGAGTTCTTTCTGAGTTCTATGACTTACCATCAGGGACTACCCTTTAATTAAAGAGTAGAAAAAAAGATCAAAGTTAGATCGAGCTCTTCTTTATGGTAGAAAAGAAATAGGCCATGGAAACAGTATCCAGAAATATCAAAACCAGGAAGGAATTAAAGGAACAATTATGTTAAGTTTAAAAAGGAGTACAGTATTTATATTTCAAGATGAGATCCAATTATATTCTATAGTGATAAAGGCAAAAGTTTCAACCTCAGTTTTCTTTACTTTTTATTTCTGATACAGTTTCCTTGGCTACAAGTCAAAGTAAAAGCAACTTACCAGGCTGTTTGGACCAGAGTTGGATTGCGTTCACACTCAAGCACTTGGAGATACATAAATATGATCTGGTGGGGGAAAGAACCTTATTTTAAAGACAACTCAAATATTCCCAGTTCAAAAGCAAAAGTAATGTGCAAATATGATTAAATGTTTTATTTATACACTGAAGTATACTTAACCTGGAGTTCATAAGGATTCAAATAAGTGGGAGACCTACCTTGTGTGGATGCTTTACATGAACACAAAACCCCAATTCCTTCAGCACTCGCCTCTCAGCTTTGATGACCTGGTTTTTGGTGTTAATGTAGTTTTGATCAAGTACCAGCGATGCTGGAGTCCTGAATTCAAGAAAAAAATCAAAGACCATTTTGCATGTCTAAAATGCAAACATTTTGAAACTCGAGTTAGCCATTTCAACTTCTCTCTAGAATTTTCCCTTTCAACCAACCAACAACCATGGAAAGAAACTCCTGTAACTGCATCCAAAGCCTTGGTCTTGTGCTGTCCATTTCATTGAGCTACATCATACAGTAAAATGCACTTTATTAGCCCGGTCGGTCTGTTAAACAGCTAATACTGGTTATCAGAAAAAGGATATCACTACAGATGGTCAAAAAAAACTAAGCACCTGAACACAAAATTTCCAAAGAACAAAGTCAATTTTGTAAATGCCAAATTACACCTCATTTTAACACTTGATTTAGTCGTTGCCTCTTATGCTACATATGACAAACACCAAGTTTCAAAAAAAAACAAAATCGGAATACAATATAATGTGCGATTTACTATACTAAATACTTTAAAATTCCCATATCTGGTTAAAAATGAGCCACAGGTATTATGCACAAATTAGCATTTGAATTTCAAAATTGTAAAGATTGTATCTAAAATCTCTTCCCTTTTCAAACTAGCCTTTGTTTAACAAACAAGAGAATCTGCTATATTGCAACTCCAAAACTATACAGAAAAGCATGAATACAATCCTGTATCACAATTTACAAGACAAAGTGAATTGAGTAACGTTAAGTGGACAATGTTCGATCCAGTTGTACAAGATGAAACCCAACTAACTAGCTATAGAAAAGCACGTGCAAGGAAACTTACCCAAGCAGTATTGGTACAAAACCCTGATGTCATGTGCCTCTAATAAATATCTTTTATACCCAATCCCTGCCCTAGCTTTCGTTACATACAGTATGTTTTCCTTCCCTCTTCAAAATACAACATCACAGAGCATCATACCAGAGCATGATCTAGTGTTTACCTAATATCCCACACCCAAAACTGAAAGATCAGGAGCATGAACACCTAAACACTACCCAGCACAGGAACACTGAGGCTAACAGATGCACCCTAATATCCTAAAACTAATTATGCAGATTATGTAGACTAGCTAATCTGGTGATTGTGATTCAAGCCTCCAATTTGCTTGTCCATATAATCATTGCATTTATATTGCACACCTCCCACGTTAGAAGGACATCTCAAAGTGCTGCACAGGATTTACTGTAAAGTGTAATTACTGTGAGTTCTGGATTTTAGCTACTTCCAGAACTTTTAGTTGCAATCAGAAGAAATAAGCCTCAACTCCAACATTACCGGAGCAGTAATATAATATTAAGTAATCAGGCTTGCTATATCTAATGGCAACAAGTTTCAAAACTAAATGTTGAAACCACATATTAAGGAACATTACATAATTTCAATTAATTAGCAAAGTTACTGTCAAGCACAAGTACTCTGAAAAGCAATAGGGTAGTACGAATTAAAGAAGCACCACTGAAAAAATAACTGAGTGCTGATACACATACTGCTTTTGGTCAAATTGTTTCGAGCACTGCCTCCAGAATTTGTTGTGATAGACCTTAAACGTAAGTTTCTGAATCTTTCTACTCTGTAGATATCATCCCAAATAAAATCTGACAAGACAGACACATTCATTAAATACAGAATCTGCAAATGACTAGTCCAAATCCCTGAATGTCCAGCGCCTTGGGACGTCCTCCTGACATGAAAGGTGTTACACAAATATAATTTTGTATTCTATTAACAAGTTCCAGAAGAGACTTTGCTGTTATTTAGAAATCATCCACTAACTGTCAATAAATCACTAATCAGAACCTTCCTAAACTGCAATTTGTACTATCTGAGTTACTCAAAAGCTAATAGAACAAATGACTGTTCATTTCCCATTTTTGTAGACTGGTTTTATCAAACTGCCACCAACTTTTTGCAGCTCAGCTCAATCCCCCAAATAGTGACATGTGAAGCCATTACATTTTGGTATGAATACTCCAAATTCCAAAGCATTGCTTGTGGTAATCAAATGGTTCTTCAACTATTCTTGATTACACCAGAAGTTTACCATCCTCAAAAGAAGCTAAACTTGGTAACTTCATTTCATTTAGATACGTGAAATTATATTTATACCAAAAACCATCACAAATAAGGATAGTCAAATATCAATGCTTGATAACGCATAGAATATGAAATGGAAAAATCATGTGTATTTGTGATACAACATATGAAATGGTTTGAGAGAACATGTCCATGGATCCCACTGAAAATAATTAAAATTTTTCATAATTTTTCTGTGTTGCACACAACACACTTCTTTGTCCAGTGAGAAAAAACATTGTGCACTTACATCAACTTTGGTGCCAATATTAAGAGTATTAAACTAGAATCAAAAATCTTTTTTGTAATGATCAACTCCACTTTCCTTTCAAGAATAGTGAAGTATAGATTTCAACAGTACTTCTATCACTAGTCAAAGCCCCCCCCCCACACCCCCTAATATCAATATATAAGACGGTATACAGTAGCGCAAGCACAGGGTTGAAAATGCTTCTGGTTTTGTGATCAGGAACACCAAGCACTACACTGCTGCAAAATTACTTCTGAAGACAGCCCAAAAAGTAGGCAATCCAGAGATTGGATTATTCTCCCAATTTTAGTTGAAGGTCCTATGCAACAGGTACGCTAATTTCAGTCTGATTCTCATTAGGTAGAACCATACTAGAAATCTATCTACAAATCACTCACAAAGGGAATGATAAGCCATTACTTGACAATGTGACCCAAAAATAGAGTATCCTAATGCTCTATAATGCCATCTGTGCCTTGGAATGCCCCCTGACATGGAAGATTCATCCATGGGGGTAAACCAGCACTACCACACAAAATGCCACTGTGCTGGACTTATTTTTATTAAAAGCTCAATGTTAACACGCACAAAAAAAATCTTACCTGCAAATTATACAAGTAACTAAGTTTCTAATACTCAGACACAATAAAACTATTGTATCATAATCTTTCAATGCCATTTTAAATTAAAGAATGAATATGTACAGTCAACTTCAAATAGTTTGAAGAAGCTTTCCTTTGTACAATGACCTCCCTTTCCTTTATACACAGACCACAAGTAAATTAAAACCAAGGCAAAAATGTGATGATGCCATCTGGACAGCAAAGACAAAAAGCTGAGAACCAAGTACAGGAGTTCCTACGTTTGAATAGTACTGTGCCCAACCTTCGAGAGCCCCCGATTCCAGTGACCCGTTCAAAGAGCACTGGTTCTCCATCGGGATCAAACGGCACTTCTTATTCTCACTGTTGCCATGTCGACAGCTTCATCTTTACGTACCACATCACCCAGTCTTTGGTAAATGTAGTTGGTCGCTGTTTGGTTGGTTGCAAGGGAAAAAAGAATCAAAGTCAATATTGTATTTTAACTTTATGCACAACAGTAAAAATTACATTGCAGCAACTGCCAAATTTTCATTTGTAAATAAATTTCTCTAATCCAGACCACTTCAATGTTTTTTTTAAAAAACAACAATTTGTGGTTCTTCAAAGTTTTATAATTTTGGATTGCAATTTTTTTGCCACAAATGCATGTATAGCTTTGTCAAGTTAAATACCCAACATATCAGGGAGGCACTGAAAATGAATCTGAATTAAATCACATTCTATATATTAAACAAATGCAAGAATGTATTTTTAAGCATTTAAGATATGACGCAAGGCACCAGCTCATATAATTCCAACAGACTAAGTAAAATGGAATTCCAATTTAGATTTTTTTTTAAAAATAAAATTTTACGTGCTTCATTTCTAGTTAATAGTTATATATTTTTATAAACAGAATGATCAACATTCTGAAGAATAAAAGTAGCAAATCTCATTTTTGTATTCCACATTATTTTTTTCAAACTTTAAAGGTGTAAATTTTTTTAGGAGGGTTAATTGCTGGGTTTCGGCACATATTCAGACTAGCCTCCCAATAGTCTGTTTTAAGTTTGTCACTCATCTTTATCCAGATTGGCAGCTTTCACACGGCCATAGTGTGACTGACGTTTAGTCACATAGGCTCACTTAAGCTTAATGTTCCTTTGGAGAAGGGAAATTGCATCATAATGGTGTACGTCAGAAGTCGTGTATGTATCAGTGTGCTCCAGGGTGACAGCACTTCCTTCTATAGCTGTCTTCTTTCTATTGCTTGGCCTGCTTTCAGATTCCGGACCGACTCTGGTCAGCAGTTTGTGAGCTTACTTAGACCTAATCGTAGCATGGAAGGGGTCCAAGAAGCCAATGTAAGCAAAGCTGCATCAAAATACCCAACTTAAGTGTTTAAGAAAAAAAAACTTACAAGGCCATCTGCTAATTGATAAGAAACCTGTAATCCATGCTTAGTTTGATTCACAGAATTAAAAGAATTCCAGAATAGGAATGGCCATTTTAATTATTTGTCTTCTCAGGAACCGATTTTGAAAAGTGCTTTCACTACCTCTGTGACTTCATTATTTGAGCTAGTCAGTTTTATTGGCACTTATTTTTAAAATAAAATTAATTCGGACCCCATTCATTTTCAAATTTCACAATAGAAGTTAAAATTATGCCTTTGATCAGATCTACTGGAAAGAGTTCACTGTCTCAATTTAATTTTCTTCAGGAAGGAACTGTCAAGATGCGGAAAGGGAAACTTCACAGTAGTTCATTACTTAGTGAGTGCCATTGGGCTATTTAGTTAAGGCGCATAGCAAAACTGAATCCTGTCTCACCCACGTGCAACTTCTAACAGGAGTCGCTGAAGCGCAATAAAAGGTAAGCCTGACAATTTTCTGACCTCCCTAGCCAAGGAATACATATTCATTAGCCTGGCAGCTGAATTGGCTAGCGTGAGAGAATTGAACAAGATTGATCCCGTAACCATCCTTGATCTGTACAATTCAGGATCATCCCACGAGGTACATTTATCCACGGAGTCAGTACACAACTATTCGACTGACCGATATTTACAGTTGTCACCTTGAAAGAAAAATAGACTCTTGCAGTCATGTTTAAAACCAAAATTAGTGATTACTTTGCACATTAATGCAAACTGAAGTTAGGGACACCAGCTTACCTTTTGCCTCGCAGCTGGCGTAAATGGTGAAACACATTTATCACGTCTCTCACACGGCGTGGCGCTTCTTCGATCTTCGATGCAAGATTGATACCAGCCATAGCAACAATCTGAAAATCATTGGAAAAATACTGTAATTGTCCACAAACTTATTTAACTTGAATACCAACACAATTACAGTCAATTTTACATATTTGCTAGGCTACCTACTTAAAAAGATTCTGTAGACTATTGGCCCATTTGGGAGAGAAATGGTCCCCACCAAACCCACACGGTACCCTCAAATAGAGACACTTCCCCACCACTTCAGCAGGTTCAGACCAGAGTTCAAATATTCAGCAGGCCACGACTGCACTGAACAAGATAAGATGCACGGCCAACCTGATACCAGCTTTCAACACATGTGCATCGTTGATAAGAGATTTGATAACTGCTCCAGAAAGCTGCTGTCGCATTAGGACCCCAAATTCTCAATCACCACAATCTAATACAAGTCACCCTTGCACTTTGAGCTGCAGCGCCTTATCACGTCGGCGAGACGTCCAAAAAGTGCTTCAACGGGGGTACAACCGCAAAAGTGGATCGATTGGGTAAGCGTGGGGGGCGAAGAACATTAAATAACCAGAAAAAGTGGCAATACTTCCAAGCAGTTGCACACAACAGGAGGGGATGAGTCGTGGAACTAGTCCGGGGGGGGGGGATACTCTGTGTGTGTGTGGGTGGAAGAGAGAAAAGAGAAGCAGTTTCAACCTCAAACACAAGCCGTGCCTCATGCTCGATGGCTTCCCCATTTGCCGCAGCCTAAAAGCCGCCTTTGCAGACAGCAATTTGTACACATATATGAATAAAAAAAGTACACCCCACCCACACAGGGGGGGAGAATACCAAACCCCACCCTCCCTCCCTCCTCCAGCTCTCTCTCTCTCCCTCCCCTCCCCCACCCCAGGCCTAAGCCACACAGGCCCTGTCCAACCAACCGGGCCCGAGACAACATGGCGCCAAACGACTCGACTCCACTCAACTCACTCCACCCGACCCCCCGCGACTCACCTCGAAACTGTGCTTGACGAAGGACTTGGAGAAGAAGAAGCGCTGGAAGAGGACCTGCGCCGTAGCCATGGCCACCTGCGAGGGAGGGAGAGAGAGAGGAGAGAGAGAAGGGGGGAGAGAGAGAGAGAGGGAACAAGAGAGAAAAACGCGGAAATAAAAAATATTTTTTTTTAGGGGAAAAAAATAAACCACAAAACACGGAATGTTTAAGCTTTTTTTCCCCCCTTCTTCTTCTTCTTCTTTATCCCGGACCCTGGTATCTCCCCCCTCCCTTTTTCCTCCACCATCAAATCCCGCTCTCCCCCCCCCACCCCTCTCTCCCTCTCCCTCTCTCCCGACACCGACACCCACCACCACCGCGACCGGACAACGCACCTGAGGCAAGCGCAGCAAGATGCCGGCCGACTGGATCAGCTCGCAGCCCAGGATGCGCAGGTCGGTCTCCACCTCCAGGTCCAGGCCGTCCTGCATGGACGGGGTCAGCGACAGCTTCTCCTCGGGCAGCAGCGAGTTGTCGATGGTCAGGAAGACCTCGGAGTAGACTCGGTCGCCGATCAGGATCCCCTCGTTACCCGCCGACGCCGCCGCTGACGCCGCCGCCGCCGCCGGTGGCACCGCAGTGGTGGTCGTCGTCGTCGGTGGTGGTGGTGGTGGTGCCGCCGCCGACCCGCTTCCCGTCGTTGTCGTCGTCGTCGCCGCCATTTTGTCTCTCTCGCTCTCTTCCCCTCACACTCCGACTGGACTGCCAACGGCTAAAAGGCGGGCGGGACACGGCGCACGCGCACTCCGCACCTCCCCCCCCCACCCACTCACTCACTCACTCACTCACTCCCTCCCCGCCTCAGCACCGCCGCCGTCACTGTCCTATCCGGCGGTACTGTTCCGCCGCCTCAACAGAATCCCCTCCCCCACTCTATTCAAAGTAGTTGTTTTTTTTTCCCAAATGAAAGGCCGCTCCGAAGGTGCGCGCGCGCGCGTGTGTGTGTGTATATATTTCTTTCTCCTCGGTTTGGTTTGGTTTTAAAGCAGAAAGGTAAGAAAAAGTGCCGGCGGCCCGGGGGGCGGGGCCGGAATTTTCGCGTGACGTAATTTCCAGGACAACGTGACCGAATCGCGACCGCATCACCGCATTTGTCGGGGTGGGGTGGGTGACGGTGGTGTCAGTCCGCGGCGGGTAGGGGGCGGGGCCAGTGGTGGTGGTGGGGGAGGAGGGGGGGGTGCGACGACGGGTCCGGATCCTATTTCGATGACGTTGCGGGCAGAGCGTTCGCTCCACCCCTTCTCCCCCCCCTCCCCCCCCCACCGCCTCAGGCCCCGCCCCTCCCTGCCCCGCCCCGCCCTCCCGCGCGAATGACGTCACCAGCGGCCACTCCTTTGTGACGCGCGTGCGCTTTGTTGCCACATGGCCCCGACTTCCTGGAATCCGAATCATTTGTCCTTTTTTGTCTCATTCCCTCTCTCCATCTCTCTCTCTCTCTCTCTCTTTCTCTCCCCCCACCACACCACACCCCCCCCCCCACCACCACACCACACCCCCCCCCCACCACACCCCTCCCCCCCACCACACCCCTCCCACCACACCCACCCCCCCACGCTCCCGCCCCCCCCGCCAGATACACAGTCACTACGCTTCGTAGCGCATTCCCGCCGAGCGCTTGGGGGACGGTCCCGCGCAGACGCGGTGGCAGCGCTATTTCAACTGATAATCATAATCATAATATTAGTCACAACGACGATAATAATCCTTGCGTTCGGCGCGCGCCCGCCCGTGCCTTTGGGGCGTCTCAAAGCGCTTCACGGAATGTACTGTAAAGTGGGTCGACTGGAAGGCGTTGTGGGCGAATGGCCTTGTAGGCGAGGGTGAGGATCTTGCATTGGACCCTCTGGGGGATGGGGAGCCAGTGGAGGCGAGCGAGGGGGAGAGCGAGGGTGGGAGTGAGGGCGAGGGGGAGGGTGGGAGCGAGGGCGAGGGGGAGGGTGGGAGTGAGGGTGAGGGGGAGGGTGGGAGTGAGGGCGAGGGGGAGGGTGGGAGCGAGGGTGAGGGCGAGGGGAGGGTGGGAGCGAGGGCGAGGGTGGGAGCGAGGGCGAGGGCGAGGGTGGGAGTGAGGGTGAGGGCGAGGGTGAGGGCGAGGGTGGGAGTGATGTGGTCGCGGTGTCTGGTGTGGGACAGTACACGAGCTGCAGAGTTCTGGATGACCTGCAGTGTGGAGGGAGGGCCGGGAAGGCCGACGAGGAGAGAGTTCCCATAGTCCGGCCTTGAGACGATAAAGGCGTGGACCAGAGTTTCAGCCGCGTGAGGGGTGGGGTAGTGCCGTAGTCTGGCCATGTTCCGGAGACGAGTGTTTCTCTGTACAGACCAGAGCACTGAACCTGGGAGCTTTGTAGTCCAGCTCGGAATATTGCCGTGGGAATCTTTCCACAAATCATCAGTGCCCTGGCGTTTTGTCAAAGTGGCCAGTCTTAATAAGTGATTTTAATAAATAAGTGAGCCACTTGACCATGAGAATATCATTGCAGCGCCCAGTTCTACTATCACTTTACATCCACATATGCATATTTTTAACAGGGCGTGACTAGACATAAAAGTACCTTTCATAGTGCTTGCCCCATCTAAGATCCGTTAACTCAATGTTAGCTAAACTAGGACTATATTTTAGTATTGTATCTTCAAACTTCTGACCTACCCCTTAAATCTTTCATGTACATAGCCTTCCCTTCATCCCACACTTTAAAACATGTACTGTTTCTAACATGTAATTTAAATCATGATTGCTGAATCTTAGAACGCCTCATAGCTTATCTTCTTTCCACATGACCTAAGTCATAAGGAATTCATTCCCATCATTGCTAAAATGAGTCATTTGTCTGCTGGACAGTTTATAGGAATGTTGAAAGGAAGTGCAGGTGATTTACAGCACTGCTGAAAAAGCTGAGACATGTGTTCTTTCCGTCTCAAATTCTATAGATCCCAATTAACCCACGTTCTGCATGTGGTTGCCAACAATTAGATGGCTTCATACATTTTTTCCCTTGACCTGTGGCATAGTCTTAAAGGTAAATCCTGTGCTGTGCTTTGAGACATCCTCCTGACATCAAAGGCGTAGTATCAGACGCAAGGACCATTCATCCATCCATCTATCTATCCATCTATCCATCTATCCATCTATCCATCTATCCATCTATCTATCTATCTATCTGAGACGTGGTTGATCACATATTATACTTGCAACTTTATCTAAACGATTAATACTTCTACAGAAGAACTGAGACATGAGATAATTTGGTCAATAATAATAATAATCCTTGCATTTGATATAGCGCCGTATCACATTTTCGAGACGTCTCAACGCGTAAAGTGAATTGCCTGTATATTTTGTGGGCGAAACGCGGTGACCAATTGCGCATATCGGCATCCCACAAACAGTCATGGATTGAGTGACCACAATTATTATTTATTCATTTATTTATTTTTCAAAATCATACTAAGATAGATTTCTCTGTCTAACTAAAGCATGAATTTGCCACATCATGCTGCTGTGTTCATGCTCCCCATCAAACACTGTGCTCTCTCAGCACATCTAATACCTTCTCTAGATTTCTATCTCTGGCGAGATCGGCAGCCGTTTCGTTCCACTTAGTTTTGGCTAACAGATCTGCACCACTGCTGATGAGCATTTGCACGACTTGACAATGGCCCTTCTGTGCAGCCAGATGTAGAGAGGTTCGATCCAGCCAGTCCTTGGCGTGGATATCAGCATCATGTTGGAGTAGAAGCTCGGCGGCTTCCGCCTGTCCTCGGAGAGCAGCTCTCTGCAGTGGGGTCATGTGTAGGTGGTCTCTGCTGTCAGTAGATGCACCAAACTGCAACAGTAAATGAACTGCGCTAGCCGCTCCACTATCTGCGGCGAGGTGCAGGGGCGTGAGCCGGTTCTTGTCAAAAGCCTCCACTGTCGCATTTCGTTCTAGCAGCAGCTGCATGATCTGGGGGGAAGATAAGCACAGCGAGAAAAGAAAAAAAAATGTTGACTAGGCACGCACAAGACTGCCAGATGTTTCTGACAACAGACGGGTCAGGAGAGAGCGTGTGAATAGCCACACCGCAAGCCTTGCTTTCTCACACCCACTTGCTGCACAGAAAACAGACTCTCTGTAGGCGAAACGTAACAGCCATTTGGCCCAGCTTTGTTGGTGCCACTGCAACCAGTGTTCTTAAATTGACATTTTTTTTTGTGATTAATTCCACTTGGCAGCGTTCCCCCCACCTACAGTTGTTAATGTTTTTTAAACTGCTTTAGGTGCAATCCATTTCTCTCCTGAACGATTCCATTGATCCAGTTTCATTAGGCTCTCGTGGCAAACCAGCCAAAAAGGTTAACACATAATACACATTCCCAACAAAAGGCTCTGTTGTTTTGGTATTTAAAGGTTACAGTTGAGAATACGTTGGATATAGCACTTTTATGGTGTGCTTTAATTCATTAATTAATTAATACGGAGAAATAAATCATTTCAGACATTGATTTTCGAAGGGAAATTGTGTTTGCGTTTTTTATAAAAAAAACTTGCAGCACATATTTTTGGGCAAGATCATTATTTTCACAACTCTACATCAAAGTTTTAACATCAGCAAGTCTTGCTCCTCTTCCTATCTCTGTGACCCGCATCAACCTGTCTGCTCCCTCCGCTCAGCAGTCTCCGGCCTGCCTGTCCAGAGCCTTGGGATGGCCTCCCGATGTGAAAGGTGTGATACAAATGTAATTTGTAGTTGTTGTTGTCTCAAAGTGCTTCACGGTGACTATGCATTTGTAGGCAACAGGGGTAGACAAAGAGCACCAGGTAAAAGACCAGGGAAATGGCATTTAATTGGATAAAATCAATGGATCTCAGAATCATTCCAACTCTTAGGGCTTTTGGCACGAGGTGTCTGAAACGTGATCATAAGGATAACTGGCTTTCACTGTGACCTTGCTTTTTGATCCTTGGGTATCAGCTTTTCCTCTCATTGTGAAGCAGAATTCATCCAGAGTTGGATTGTTAATTGTTTAGCTACTAGATCCTAAGATGAGTTTGGATGAAGAAGACCCTTTGGCCCATCAGATCTCATCCCTCCAGAATACCCACCCCACTGTCTTCTCCTCACAGCAGCAAGCCATGCTTTATTGAGTTCAGTATCCTGACATCAGCCACCCGTCCAGGCAACTAGTAGGGCTTGTGAGACAGGTTTGTTTCACCCTCTTGGTGATGTGAGAAAAACATAATAATTATTTGATCACTTAATCCATGACTGTTTGCGGGACTGCTGTGCGCAATTGGCTGCCACGTTTCGCCCACAAAATATACCGTGAATTAACTTGGCAGTATATTCTGTGAAGCGCTTTGGGATGTCCTCCCGACGTGAAAAGCACTATATCAAATGCAAGGATTATTATTATTATGTGATCTTGGAATAGTAAACCTACTGATGAGGCAAGATGGGCAGAATGACTGTCTGTGCGGAGCTCTCTCTGATCCTAGCTCTCATACAGTTCCAAGGATTTTTAAATTTGCGTTCCACAGATTTCAAATCATTTTCAGTCAGTTTAAGGTGATTACAGTCAGTCAGTGTGTTATTCATTTTTAGATGTCAGTCTAGTTGACTTAATAGCTAAAGGCACGATACCAACAGTACTTATTCAAACGAGCAAGAAGAATGCAGAATTGCACACATCCTCTCACGTATCTTGAGTCTTGAGGGAACAGTAAAATGATGGCACTGTGCAGAAGTGCAGAGTGTGCAGTACTTTGCCTCTTTGTACCCAGTAAATGTACGTCTTCAGTGTCCGATCTCAGCGGAGAATAATGACTGCAGCTGTTCTTGAAAACTCGAGGGAAATAAGTTCTCCTGCTGTCATTTGACCTGCTGAAAGGAGTCCGGCTCTTGCATCCAAACAGTCATTTATATATTGGACCAACGAACGAGAGATAGACCACTGATCAATGTCAATTTAAACCAAAAACCAAATGACTCAAACCTTGCTATTTGGTGTCCCTTTATTTTGAGTTCATCAACTTTGGACATAACGAGCCAACATCCAGAAGAGTAATTGACAGTAAAGAGAGAGAGAAAGAGAGAGAGAGAGAGGGGCTAAATCACCTTCACCAAGTTTGGAAACAACAGAGTGCGTCTACAAAGCTTCAAGCACGTTTCTGATATGATAACCTGACACTGCTCATAAATCTGCAGAGAAATCTGAATGATCTTTAGCTTCATAAAATCCTGTTGTGTTCTGTGGTTGCAATTGAGAGTCTCATAAAAACTGTTCTCCATCTGCTCTGGAGGTGCTGTGAATTGCTGGGGCCACATTTGAGCCTTTGTTTGTTATTGTATACATCTGCTTTGTAAAAGGCAAAATAGATGAGATGTTTAGTTTCTTCACAGACGATGCTTTGCTGAGCTGTACTTGGGGAATGAATTAGAGTAGGCGAAGGAATAATCCCCTCATTCACTTGACAATGAATGTGAATTACTTACTGCAATCTGCACATTTATCGATTTTAAATCTTTGGGGTGTTTAATGTGTAATTAGCAGCATTTAATAACTCAGTTTGTGTTCAGACTCATCATGGAACACCACTACAGTAATTTCACCCCCAGATATATTTTAAATTCCATTAAAATAATTTCATGTCCATTCAATTGTGTGATTAATTCCGTTCCCCCCCCAAAGTAGGACAAGTCATTTTTGGTGAACTTTAATCAGCTATAATATGCTTTAATAATAATAATCTTTGTGTTTGATATCGCGCCTTATCATGTCTTCGAGACGTCTTAAAGTGCTTCACAAAATATACTGTAAAGTGAATTCACTGCATATTTTGTGGGCGGCAGCCAATTACGCACAGCAGTGTCCCCACAAACAGTCATAGATTGAGTGACCAAATTATTATCGTGTTTTTTTTAAGGGATTATTACCCCCGAAAAGCGATCCACCAATCGACTAACAACCAGGTTCCTACTTACTGCTCGGTGAACAGAGGGGTAATAATAATAATAATAATAATCCTTGCAATTGATATAGCGCTTTTCACGTCGGGAGGACGTCCCAAAGCGCTTCACAGAATATACTGTAAAGTGAATTGACTGTATATTTGTGGGCGAACGCGGCAGACATTGCACACAGCAATGTCCCACAAACAGTCGTAGATTGAAAATGACCAATTTATTATTGTTTTTTGTTTTGGAGGGATTATTATTAGGCTCTGTGTGGAGTAAGGAAACTTGCCCGGTGTTTCACTCCGCCCGGGAATCGAACCCGGGTCCTCTCGCTTGTGAGACGAGTGCTCTAACCACTGAGCTACAGTACTCCACAGCTAATATCCAAGTCAGGTCTTTGACTTGGACATTAATGGGAATCCAATGCCAATAATGCTACCATCTGTACAGAGATTGCTGTTTTTTTTAAGCAGTTGCCTTCACAGAGACAGTGACCTTCACCACATCAAATATCACTCAGCAAGGAATTCTGGTGTAATCAAGCAATGCCCAGATTATTTCCAAAATGCTTGTAAATCTGAAATCCACGTTGCTAGGCTATAGATAGCACGGTGGGGTCAGAGGTGGCGAGTATTAATACAGCTGGACGTGAGAAACAAAGGAGAACAAAGTACAAAGGACTCAGTACTTGAGGAATTCAGTCAAATTTACACAGAAGGCACAGTATAATTATAGCAGACACAGCACACATGGCAACAGATGGGGAACATTCACTTGTATAGTTTGTAGAAACTCATTCAGCAGACGGTGCATATTAGAGCTCAGCTTTCCCTTCACACATCACCAACAGGCTGCAACGTTCTGGGACACGTCTTAACACAACTACTGGTCAGTAAGGCTGCCGTCAGTCGGAACCTTTGTGATTCCTTCTGCTCCACACTCCGCCACTGTGAAGCGCTCCGGGATGCTACTCTGTGTGAAGGGTGCTCTGCAAATGCAAGTTGTTGTCGCTCAGCCCAGATGCTGCCCTGAGATACGCTCGGTTTTCCCCAAGTGCAAATATACATAAAACGCACAGTCACTACACTTTGCAGTATGTTCTGTGAAGCGCTTTGAGACGTTTCGAAGACGTGATAAGGCGCTGTATCGAATGCAAGGATTATTATATATTATTATTAAATTTTACAGCTGGTTCTTGGTGGATCCCAGAAGGAAGTGGTGATTAGGGAACGTACCATTGTTTTGCTGTATAAACTTACCCATGGAACGTTTTCTGCTTAAACCGTAATAAACGGTGGGAACGGGCAAAAAAAAAAATGCCTGAGTGATGCAGGAACGTTAGTTCCTTCAGTTACCACTGGCAAAAAATAATTATAATAATCCTTGCATTTGTGTCACCCTCCAACTCCTCCCCTCCTCGTCCTCCACCCCTTTCCTGATCCCATCCACCAGCTCGGGTGCAGATCTCTGACTGTCCAGCGATTGGGAACGTCCTCCTGACTTGAAAGGCGCTGTACAAATGTCATTTGTTGCTGGTGGGCCTTTTACGTTATGGGATCTATCAATAATATGCTTCACAGGATTTTCTGTCAAGTGTAGTGACTGTGTTACGCAGGCGAATTTGGCAGGCACTTTGCACACAGCGATGTCCCCCGTGAAGTGAACAGGCAATTCTACCTGAGGGATTGTAGGCCAATCCCTTCCCTTCTTTTTCCAAGTCGTGGAAATGGGATCTTTCGTGTCCACCTCAACGGTAGATGCCGGGACCTCCGTTTAACAGCTCGTCCGCAAGGCAATTAAATGCAAAGTGCTAAAGAGCGATGGGTCTGACAGCAACTTGTCCACTGTTACGTTTTGCTGTACCAGCTCCCAGTTCAGGGAGCAGACAGCCAAAAGCCATCTGATAATTGGGTGACGCTGTGAAGTCTAGGCAGCAAAACAGGAGACATTGATTTGTCGAATAATAATAATAATAATAATAATCCTTGCATTTGATATAGTGCTTTTCACGTCTTCTAGACGTCCCAAAGCAAAGAATGGAAATGGAAAGAAGAACGTTCGTCCCAGTTACTGGGCTCAGTCAATGTTACCGTCAGTGTCAACGTGTAACTGAGGCAAATATGCCCCCCACCACTCACATACATTGTACACATGCACCACTCACTCAAAGTCAAAAGTGTGGAGAGAGATCAGCCTCAACGTCGCTATGGCTCTTTGTTCAGTAAATGTTTGCTATCTTCCTTGGGTAGAGGTGGGAGGGGAGAGGTGGGGTCTCCTCAGAGCTGAGCTGGATTCAAGGAATGTTTCGGCAGTGGATTCACCCCTCGAGTCAACCCTATGTGATGGTCTCTAGTCCAGTTGCAGGTCTACAGTATTCCAGGGCACTGCTGATGACAGCACAGCCCAGCCTGGTTCATCAGCAGGACCTGGAGGGACAGACTTGTTCTGTTAACCCTGACAGCCAAAGCCTTTAAGGATAGGATGGTCGTGGCTGAACAAGCAGCGGGAAGCTTGCCAGACAGTGCTCTCAATGGCAAGCTTTGCTGATTTAGCTGGTTAAACGCTAGCAGTTACCCCCAACACACACTCTGGGGTCTCCAAGTCGTGGCTCTTGCCAACCTATGCCTAATACTCCCTGGAATTAGATAAGGGTTCAAGCCTCCAGTGACAGAGTGTGCATCCATCCCAAACACAAGGAGGGTGCCAAACATGGGACTCTCAGTCTGGTTTGGCTACTCATAAAGCACGTTTCCGCATGTGTCAGACACCCGGCTGACCAAACTGTCAGGGGCAGTGACTCTATTTGTAACCAGTTTATAAAACAGTTTAGAAAAATAATCAAGATCAGAATAATAATAATAATAATAATAATAATAATACGTCGGGAGGACGTCCCAAAGTGCTTCACAGAACACACTGTAAAGTGAATTGACTGTATATTTGTGGGTGAACGCGGCAGCCAATTGCGCACAGCAATGTCCCACAAACAGTCGTAGATTGAAAATGACCAATTTATTATTGTTGTTGGTTTTGGAGGGAATATTATTATTAGGCTCTGTGTGGAGTAAGGAAACTTGCCCAAGGTTTCGCCCTCTGCCTGGAATTGAACTCAGGTCTCTCGCTTGCAAAGCGAGTGCTCTAACCACTGAGCTACAGGACTCCAAGAAGGGACAATAAGTGACACACGTAGTTAGTTTTAGCGAATAATTTAAATGAGCCGACAAGAGCAGTTTTAGATGACATTCTGGATACAACTGGTGCCCTTATTTGTGTAGTCCTGTATCAGTGTATACACCTATATACACCTATATTATTCTATAGTCCTGTGGAGTCCTGCAGCTCGGTGGCTAGAGCACTCGAGAGGCCTGGGTTTGATTCCCGGCAGGGCGAAACCTTGTGCGAGTTTCTTTACTCCATACGCCTGATAATAATCTCTCAAGAAAAAGAATTTGGTCACTTCATTCCACGACTGTTTGTGGGACGCCGCTGTGCGCAATCGGCTGCCGCGTTTCGACCCACAAATATACGGTCAATTCACTTTACAGTATTATTATTATTATTATTATTATTATTGGACCATTATCAACCTATGTAAATTTCAATCAATGTATCATTGATTTTGTACTATAGCGTCACCTGCAGGCGGAAGAATATCTTACACGCACATAAACCTCAGCTTGAATTTTTTAGCCTGGATTTCGGAAATGTGCAGTTCAGTATTTTTGTTGTTCTAAGAATTCGTGATGTAAAATTCCTCCCTTATTGAAATTCCGACGGATAATTCTATCATGTGTTGGGAGTGTCATTTAAAGTGGCTGCAGCCGACTCTTTGGAATTATTCGCTGAGCTTTCCCGCTTATCTTGCAAATGATCCTCATAAAATGTATTTATTTCCTGCATTGGCAGGCAGGCAGCTCATTTGGACACCAGGAGAAACTCCCCTCTTTTTATATCCCCATCGCACCCGTCTGAAACCCAGGTGAAAAAAAAAAATCCTTAGCGGCACAAAAAGTTAAACTCCAATGTGCAACTTTCCAATTTTGCTTAGTTCAATTTCAATCAAGTTAGTAGCTTTAACGACTAATCAACACGGAGAGCGCGCGTGTGTGTGCGTGTGTGTGTGTGTGTGCGTGTGATCAGCCATTTTAATAGCTTTTACCATGCATTGCGCTTAATAAAATTTCCGAGTTGCAATCGGGACTCGATAAATGGGCAGAGCCACATGACGCACATTCACTCTGTATCCAGACGGTTCAGATTTTGCAGTTGTTTCTTCTTACCTCTTTGCTTCCGTTTGCTGCAGCTTTGTGCAGAGCAGTCTGTTCATTTTCATCCCTGGCGCCTACATCCGCTCCTTTCTTTAGTAAGTAATTGATGGCCTTCAGACTCTTAGCCTCCACTGCTAACTGCAGTGCGTCCATCCCACAGTCCGTTCTCTCATCCAGGGTAGATCCATTTATTAGCAGCAGTTTGGCGATGTCCACATGGTCATTGACACAGGCCCAGTGTAAGGGGGTCCACTTGTTGTTGTCTTTAACGTTGACAGAGGCTCCGTACTTTAACAGGAGCTGGGTCGTGCTGACATGTCCATTGGCCGCGGTGCAGTGGAGTGGGCTTAATCCGCAGCGGCTTTGGGCCTCAAGCAGAGCTCCACGCTGTAAGAGGTGCTCCACTGTGTCAGTGTGCCCGTTACAAGCAGCTCTGTGCATTGCGGTGTAGCTAAACATATCCCGGCTATTGATAGCTTCGCGCATGTGAAGGAGATGCTTGACCAGTGGAATGTGCCCGCAGTAGGCAGCGCGGTGGAGAGGAGTCCAGCCCAAGTCATTGTTTAAGTCAGCATTTGAATTAATCATCACTCTGCGAAAATTAGATCGACAGGAGGGTTAGATGGTTAAGGACAGATTGTAACACACTGTGAAAGATCATGTTTAGAAATGGATTGATTGGGTTGCAAACATTCAATAAGCAATAAATAAATAAACAAACAAACAAACACATAAACGAATAAACAAATAAATAATTAATAACAATGATAATTTGGTCACTCAACCCACGACTGCTTGTGGGACGCTGCTGTGCGCAATTGCCTGCCATGTTTTGCCCACAAAATATCCAGTCAATTCACTTTACGGTATATTCCGTGAAGCGCTTTGAGACGTCTCGAAGACGTGATAAGGCGCCGTATCAAATGGGAAAATTATTATTATTATTATTTGGTAAGTGAATCACTGCCACCAAAGGTGCAGCATAAATGTAGCATTGGAGGGTAGTTGGCGTTCGACTGTTTTACTCAGTCGTGACAGGCACTGACTACATTTAGGTCCCAATTACCTGTGACATAGAGGAGTGCAAAGGACATTGCTTTCCTGCTGTGGTTGCTCCGCATCTGCATCCGTGCTCTTGTTGATTCTCACAGGGCCTGAGGAAGAGACGGAGTCACACAACTCTAACCACTTCCATGTGATAGCTGAGAGCTCAGACATGACGTTTTCTGGAAAAGAAACATTATTTCTCGAACGGAGCTATTGAAAGCACAATAATACCATCATAATAATCCTTGTATTTTTGACGCTTCTGTGCGCAATTGGCTGCCGCGTTTCGCCCACAAAATGCACAGTCAATTCACTTTGCAGTCTATTCTGTGAAGCGCTTTGAGGCGCCTCGAAGACATGAAAAGGTGTTGTATCAAATGCAAGGATTATTATTATATTATCATTATTATTATCCTACTGGTGGATTATATTTGTTGATAACAGTTTAGTATTGAATGGACACTTTCAGTGAATGACCATTGTGACCGAGTAGGAGTGTGGTTTGGTTGACCCGGCTGTTGACTGGGATCTGTTCTTATTCCTAACAACGCAGAAAATACTTTATACAACAATTCAAACCACCAGTTTGTTACGATGTGTTCTTTTCATTTAACCACAATTTTCCTTGGTGGAGGTAAGCCGTCTGAATTGCCTCTTCGTGTCTGTTCATTGCGGGAACTGGACAAATAAGCCAAAAATAAAGGCCAGATTTATCTCGTTGGTTTAAATAGTCCTTAACCCTATCACGGTGAGAGGACAGCTCCTAGAGCTTCACAGGATTTCGCTGGAAAGTGTAGTGACTGTGTATTTCGAAGGTGCGGCGCTTAGAATGAACCTAGGATTTAAAACAAAACTCTGGGCTTTTGTTTTTCTAACCTCACGGTAGTAACTCCGAGATCTACATAGCCAAACAAATGAAAAACTACTCAGGAACAGCATGAAAATCAGGGACATCTGAGCTGAAGGACAGTGTGTTCATATAAACGGTTCAGACAGAATGTTCTACCAGGGCTGTGGAATTAATTTGTTACCACGGAAATAAATATTTTTAAAAAACACTTCAGGAAAGAAAACGCTGGCTTTGCCGTCAGATTAGCCACATTTAAACCAAACCAAACATTACACATTGTTTTTGCAATGACTTAAGTAAAGACAGAGAGAGGCAGACTCACACCGGCTTACAGAGGAAACGCTTCTCTTTCGATACCGACAAATCAACTTTCGTGAACAACATCAATCTCCAAAACAGCTCAGCTTGATGCTGTGCTGGGATATGGGCAACGTATGCAAGGATGGGCTGCAAGGCTTCCTTCATCTGAACCAACCTTAAGATTGTATTAATCGCTATCAAGCTGATTGTTTCCATCTAACATATCTACGTATACCGCGAGCCCTACTGCGAACACACATGCAAATACACCCATGTACCCACATACAATGGTATACTATATACTGTGGTACGATTATATACTGTATATAATTATGCTCGGTTTGTGTACGGGGCACATAGGATAGATTTCCTGGCGGAATGCTTCGTTCCATAGTTTAAGTATATATTACTAATTTTAGGCAGGAGTTGATCAATTGACCTGCTTATCCAAATGAGTTCTATGGGGTTACTTTGCTGTGTGACTTACAGTGGGGAAGGGGGGAGATGGGGAGCGGGGCGGTGGGAAGGAAAGATTCTCTCTTGGGTTTACGATATATCGGGTTACAGAAATTGACCGAGTTCCGTTCCTGAAAGGGAGTTGAATTCAGTTGAATTCTAGACACAGCGATCAATATTTGTGAATTACTTCAATGCAGCGCATCAGATCCACACTAGTAACCACGGTTTACAGCGCCTTGGGACGTCCTCCTGACGTGAAAGGCGCTCTATAAATGGAATCTTGTTGTTGTTGTTGTTGTTTAGTTTCCTCTGTCATCTCAGTTTCAAATTAGCTCCCAATATTAGGATAGTTAAGAAAAATAATGAAAGGTTTAGGCTCACAGGTACAGTAGGAACATTTACTTCTTGCTTAAACAATTTGACCCTAATTCAATGCCATTAGTATTGGAAATAAATTGAATATTACTTACCAAGAACATGTATAAAAATGTCTCAAAGTGCCCAACTTGAAGTGTCACTGTAACTTCCTGTTTCAAACAGTTCCTTGTACAGTGGAAAGGTGACAAAACCTCAAGGAAATAATTGCAACAGAAGGGTCCTATCTATATCTATGTCGAACTCAAAGAAGATGCAGTATTATTAAATTAGTGCCTGAAAGAGAACCAGGGAGTTTGAACAGAACTCTGTATTTGTCAGAATCTGTTGCGGTCCAATATCATTCTATTCTAAAAATTGATTGCATTTTACTTGCACCAACGTAATCAATTTTTATCGCCACATTAATATTGAAGGCACCATCGGGTTATAGCAACATAGAAATTTAAGCGAGTAGATCATTGGTCCACCTGTCCTAATATTAACCAGAGGATCTATTTTTGGTTGTTGGGTGTCTGACCAATGTGTAGATCCATCAATGTGCTTCTAGAATATCCAGCTGATCCATCCAACTTCCCCAAAAAGATTCTTCAACACGTATTTTCTGTTAACACATAACCCCGCAAGCCAAAACCCTAACGGGTAGGGTGATCTTAGCTGGATAAACTTATCACCTCATTGAGATGTCTCAAAGCGCTTCACAGAATATATTGTAAAATGGATTGACTGTATACTTTGTGGGCAAAACGCAGCAGCCAATTGCGCACCGCAATGTTCCACAAATAGTCATGGAATGAGTGACCAAGTTATTCTGAGGGATTATTATCCCATATGAATATTACTTACCAAGAACATGTATAAAATCATCTCAAAGTGCCCAACTTGAAATGTCACTGTAGCTTCCTGTTTCAAACAATTCATTATACAACTCCTTATAGACTATCCCAAGAGACAAGCACTTTTACCTCAATCGAAAATGTTTCTAATCAATGTTTGAATTGTCTTAACATTGAAAGTAATCTTGGCTGCCTTTTCCCGAACTGATGTTTAAGCTTCCAATGACATTGTTGCTCAGAGTTAGTTAAATAGTTGTAAATAAATCGAGAATTGGGCAACTTTACTTTTGAAAAGCATTACTAGAAATATTTAGTACAACTTCAGAGCTGAAAGAAACAACTAAATGGCACTTTGATGTATTTCAGGCACTAAACTATCTGTCCCTTATGACTTAATAGCCAAATCCTACTCATTAGGAAGTGTTCAGTGCAGGCAGACAAATGTTATTATTCATTACTACCTAGAGACATTACATCCAAGAATGCTCAATAAACAAAGGAAAACACTTCATTTTGGCATTTTGGTATATTTTTTTTGACTGCTGTTTCAGTGTCCACTAGTTTCAGGACTTGAGTGTCATTCAGCCACTGCCTGTGCAAAGCAGATAAGTACGAAGCCTGGGTTCAAAGTAATCTGATTGCGATTTGTGTTGCCTGTAGACTAAGCTCTGGAGACAGATCTAAATAGTGCAGGTAAAGCAGTCATTACTCCACCCAGGGTAACAGAGTAAACTGTAGTCACAGATGCTGCTCATAATTACCAGTTCAAAAGAGAAACTGTGAAAATAATCCTAAATATAGATACTGTATATAACCGGCCCGCCTACTCAACATACACTGTCTTCAAAAAGTGCATCTTACCACGATTAGTAGTTCACAGACATATCAAATGTACTAAAAAACTATTTTGCAAGGCATTAAGAATATCGCTATCCTGAAAAGGGAATTCACCCAATTAAATGGTTCAATCCTTATACATCTAACACCTTCAGGGTTTACGTTTGCACTGAAGACAGGCCTTTATAAAACACAGAGGCAGAGCTGTGCTTTCCCCCCTTCTCACACTTTTTCAATCTCAAAATAAGGTCTGATCTGAATTGTGCTTATTTGGTAATGCAGCCCAGCATCATATTCACTGTGTTTATTGCCCGCCTGCACTGAATGCTCTTGGTGAGCAGTGTGGGTCTTTCTCCAGTCCCAACACTGCACCATCTGATGATCACGAAGACTGGTTGCCACAATGTACCTCACCTTGCACCAGCGATAACCTGTGAAGTCCTCGTAAGTAAGTAAGTGATCCTCAAATGCGAGGACTATTTACTTACGAGGACGTCACAGGTTATTGCTGGTGCGAGGTGAGGTACATTGTGGCACCAACATACTGTGTCGAGAAACAGTGAGAGTATAGACTTGATCTGAATTTCACAGAGTTCCTCCTCTATGGAGCTGCTCGATTCCTTGATTGGGGATCCATTCAAAAAATAAATAAATAAAATAATAATAATAATTTGTTCATTCATTCCACGACTGTTTGTGGGACACCGCTGTGCGCAATTGGCTGCCGCGTTTCACCCACAAAACACACAGGCACTATACTACACAGTACATTGTGTGAAGCGCTTTGAGATGTCTCTTTATTATTATTATTATTTTTATTGGGTAGATAGCTGCAGAGTCCTCAGGTCCTGTCGGATTGGCTTAGAGAAGCCTGCGAGAGAGTGTGTGGCCTCTACAGACCAGGGAAACAGAGAACAAGTAGAGAAATGTCACACCCTCACAGAACAGTAGAAAACGCAGTGACCTTTTTGCATGATTTCTGGCCCTGACAGACACATCGCTGCACTACAAGGAACAAAGCCTCACCCTGATTAGTCGTAAACTTTCACGTGAGCTGTGATAGAAAAATGCATTATAAAAAAAGCTCCACAGTAACACGGACCAGTTTTAAATCAGAGTAAAAGCTTCTGCTTTTGGATATTGAATTTCAAGATGCAAAATGGAGGGATTTCACGTGAGGCTCGTTAGAAGGTTTATGCTGATCCAGTAGTAATAATAATAATCCCAACACTTCACAGAATATACTGTAAAGTGAATTGACTGAATAATTTTTGGGTGAAACGAAGCAGCCAATTGCGCACAGCAGCGTCCCACAAACAGTTGTGGGTCTTATGATAACATCTTACGATAGCTATTAGAATGAAACAACATAGAATTTCACTCCACATCTCGATCCGTGCACGTTTTAGAAGAAGGTTTCCATAAAGCTCTCTAAATTCTCAGTTGCATAATAGTATTGAAATGTTTTGGTGACTGTACTCCTTCGCACTTTTTTGTAATCAAAAAAAAGCATA